CGAATTCCCCAGCCAGCAGTCTGGGAGTTGAAGGCCACCCTTCTTAAAGTGGCCCAGGTTGAGAAACACTGCTCTAAAGGGCTGGGGTGAGAGCTGGGCTTGGTTGGATTTTGCTAATCAGCCAGGTAAAAAATAAAAAGCAAATGTACGCAAAATGTCTGCCAATGAATTCTGGTGCATTTTCTTGACTTCTCCTGCCCCCCCCTCGCCCCCACACTCTACAGGAAGACAGAGCTTCACGTGGAGACTGGCTGCATTTGCTGTCTGCAAAGAATAATTGCTCTTCACGGTTAATTTACTGCTAAAAAGCACTGCGTGAATACTAATGAGAGGAAGAGGGTTGCAGGTGCCCAGCCCCCCAGGAGGACTATGCAAGAGAGCCTGCCTTGCTAGAAGGCCAGTGACCCAAGAGTGCATTTGCTTCAGTTGTCTCCTGTGTTCTGAGTGACGCGGCTGTGCCACGTTGCGTGTCCTGCCGCATAAAAGTCCAGGCCTGCATACTTGGTGCTTGTTCACAACAAGGAAATGATAGTCCTCCCGTGGCTGTCAAAAACGGTTAAAATGTACCTGTCCCTCCTTTCCAACTCGTGACTCAACATTCAGCTTTCGTTGACTGTTATTGATAACCATTGTGGGTGGGTTGTTGATAATAATTCAGTGGCATCTGACATTTGCTGCGGGGCTGATGAGTTCCCTGACCTCATCCGTGAACCTAGAGCCCCAGAGGGGCTGGGAGGCTGCACTTCTGCCTCCCACCAAGAAGATGGCACCCACCTTCTCCCAATCATCGGCTCAGGCGGGCATGTTGGAAGGCTTCTGCTAGGAGGAGGACTGGCCTGAATGTTGCAGAAAGCAACTCTGCTTGGTCTTGGCCACTCATCCCTCCCTGCCCTTTCCCTTGCGCTGTGTTTTTAGGCCATGTTGACGGAATTAAACCATTTACTGGGTTTGCAAATGCACTCATCCTCATCAGGCTGGGTTGACACAGCATGGCCAACTACACACCCACAAAGCTTAATTACGTACTAATCAAGGTTAGCATGCTGTGGGAATGCACCTTGTTGAGAACATTGTGTGAATGCAGCCACTGAATGTAATCCTGATGCTCGAGATGATGTTATTCATCGTGGAGGCCACCCTGAAAGCTCTATTTAGCCCAAGAGAAAGCAAGGATGCAGAGGGCCTGACGTGTTGTAACAGGAGATGAAATTCAGCAGATCAAGATCCGATTTTCCTTCTAATGGTATTGGGAAACAGTATGATAACTCATGCCGATAATGGATCATTCCTGCTGTTATGCTTGCTCTCCTTCCTTAATGTAATGCACAGTTCTTCTGAAAGCCCTTCTGTGCCCAGATGTCCAGCTCTGATTCCAGCAGCAGAACTGCCTTCAGGACAGGCCGGTCTAGGTCTGTCTCTCCCCACAGGGACCTTTGGTGAGGTGCTGAGTGGTTCTCTGAGGGGTGAGGAGCCAGCCAGATGGCAGATCTGGTGGACTCTGAGCTGCTAGTTCAGTTTAAGAGGTGGTGCTGCTCCCCGCCCCCCGCTCCATTTTTACAGCCGAACTGATGTCAGGAATGCAAAAGCTGAGCAGGAGCTGAGCTTAGTGAAGCGCAACCAGAGGACCTCTGTAGATATGTTCAAAGTCAAAGGAAAGAAGAGCACCGATGTGAGCTGAACAATGAAGCCAGCAAGGGGTTAACCGGGACCAAGAAGAGGCAGAGCTATTCAGCTGCAGTTTTGCTTCCGTCTTCCACAAGAAAATCTGCTTTTGTTGATTTCATTCATTCATTCATTCCATTCATTCATTCATTCATTCATTCATTCATTCATTCATTCATTCATTCCCACCTTTATGCCCTGCTGCGCCCAAAGGATTGTTGGTCTGCTAGGAAATTGCCAAGAGCAGGAGGAAGGGGCAGACGCCCATCACCCTTGAGCCGACAGAAGCCAGGGCAGGAGATGCTCCTCCCTTGGAATGAGGATCGATCGGTAAATCTGCAGGACCAGATCAATGGCACCTCATAGTACTAAAGGAACTAGCTGATGGTCTGGCCAAACAATTACTTATTAATTAACCGCTCCTATCTGTGCTCCTGCTCTCTGAAGATGCCGGTCACAGATGCTGGCGAAACGTTAGGAACCAAAACTTCCAGAACACGGCTACACAGCCCGGAAGACCCACATCAGCCATCATATTCCGGCCATGAAAGCCTTCAACAATACAATTACTTATTAATTAACCGCTCCTATCTGTGCTCCTGCTCTCTGAAGATGCCGGTCACAGATGCTGGCGAAACGTTAGGAACCAAAACTTCCAGAACACGGCTACACAGCCCGGAAGACCCACATCAGCCATCATATTCCGGCCATGAAAGCCTTCAACAATACAATTACTTATTAACTTAAAGAAATTCTGGGTAAATGTTGGCCCTCTCTCCAAAAAGGGGGAAAAGTAAGATCCAGCCCAGACAAGTCATTCTGGCTTCAATTTCTGGGAAGAATGTGGACCAGATTGTAAAGAGGTCAGCCTGTAAGCCCCTTGAAAGCAATACGGTAATTGCTG